AAGTCTATAGGATGAGGAAGGGAACTGGGCAAAAGCCAAGTTGTCCTTAGTTTTTCTTTTGCTTCCTGGGGAAACTTCTCATCCTGGGATCAAAGACACAGAACTATATCAGACCTGGACCCAAGATGTGCATTACTTTCATTTAGCTAAGCAAGAAATGGAGGCAGAAAACTATTTTTCTTTAATTCCCTGTTTTAGACAAGTAACAGTGCCTTTTTCCATCTTTACTTGCATGGGTTGCCAGGATGCTCATCTGCCCATGTAGAAAAAAACAATAATTTTTTGATCCAAATCAAGTTTTGTAATCATGTTATTTTGTAATGTTATTTTGTAATTTTCGTTCTGTCCCATCTAGAGAATTGTATGTTCCTGGCTGGCAACTCTGCCCCCCCCCCCTTAATCTAGGCAAATATACAAACAAACAAAACCATGATAGTTAAAAATACTCGTAGAACTGACTAAAGTTTATTTTTATGTTTGTTTTTCCTATGACCTATATTTTACATATAATATCCAAATGAACATTTGATGCTAAGACCTCATTCCAGTCATTTATATGCATGCCGAAATGAAAAACCAGGACGATATATTCAGGCAATTAAAGAAAGTATTGATTATGAGATAGAACAAAAAGAGAGCAAAAAAAGACTTCATGAAATATTTTATTTCCAGAAAACTATAATTCACAGAACTGTTGCAGTATTGGATTTTTTTTTTTTCTTTGTGAGTTGTAAAGATATGGGTGAGAAATGACTGTGCAAGATGGCACAGTTGTGAGTGAGAAGCATGAGAAAATAACTTCTGCTTGTCTGTCTAGCAATGACTTTTTATCAAAGATTTGATTGTGCATTCAGTATTATGGACTCATAATATGCAAATGCATTCTGCTGTTAATACACATTCACAGCATACATGTTAGTGGTTCCAAAGGAGCTGTTTGTTACAATATATGCTCTGAATATGTATTAGGAATAATACACAATATGTAACTAAGAGCATTCTATATTACGAAAATATAACACAGAATGCACAATATTTTTAATACTTATTCATAGTGTACTCTCTGGCAGCTCAAAAGGAGCAACTGTACCGTGCACGATGAACTCTTATTGAAGATGCACAAAATTAACTAAATTTTTATGGAGCTCTGGATGTGATAACATGATCTCACACAGCAATATAACATATAGTCTACTGTTCCACTGCATTATTTATTCTATTTGTATAATATGATTGTTTTAGTATTTTTCATTTTAACATTTTTGGGAAGGATTGACTAGGTATTCTTTTCATATGGAAATATTTTTTATTTTACATACGGTATTTTTGCAAACGTCATTTGATATTGGCAATTAGTTTGATACTGCTGAGAAAAGATAATGTAAATTTCATGAATACTCACAATTGTAAGGAATGTGTGTAAAATACTAATGTAGAATAATGCCAGATCCAGATACTGCTCTGGTTGCAGAAGCAAAAGGAGCCTTGTTAACCTCAAAAGCAACAGAAATATTTGGCTTAGTTTTTTTTTTGCTTGCTATAAACACAGCCTCTAGGATTATTATGACTAAGTGGCTAGATAAATTCATTAAGTTATTCTAAGTTTACTAACTCTCTATAAAGTTCATGTTACAATATTCTGTGTTCAGTTAGCCACAGTTTTTTAATCAATAATTCCCTGAAACTTCCTGCCCCCTTAATTCAAAAGATGCTGTTGTCCATCATTTGTCTTTGCTGAGATGATCTTTAATGTCAAGGCAAGTTCCAAATAATCTTGAATGCATTAAAATATCAGTACAGAATTTGAAACACTCATTTCTGCTGAATTTCAAGTTTCTTCTGAAGTCCTAAATAAGTTTTTTATTAAGGTGCAATATTAACTGCAAAGTGAAAAGCTGAATAACTGAGGGGAATATATGCAAATAAATTAAGTGTTGCAATCCAGCACACTTAGTTGTAATTGAATACTGAATATTTCTTCTTGACTTATTTGTAGGAATGCAATGAATTACTAGTTGACATTTTGTTGTGATGAAACGTCATTTTGCATGCCTCAATATATGATCTGTTACTTTTTCATGTGAGATCTATTACCTGCTTGAGTGAGCTACTTGCTTGAGCTTGCTAAGGAATAGCTGAAACTACCATAAACCATGCCATGTGACGTGTTTTGTCCTAGGTAGGATAAAGCTTGTTGAGCTGAATTCATCTTCATGCAACTCCTTGGACTTCATTGGAGTTAGATCAGAAATAATTCACCTCAGAATATTTTATTTTGTTTTACTACGGAATTTATCAATTTTCATGAAATCTTTGCCATCTGTGTTAGAAAATATTTTACAGAAACAAAATATTTCTTATGCTGTTGTACTGACTATAAACAGGAAAACAAAATGAAGAAAAATACCTTTTCATATTTTAAATCCATGTTTACACTGAGTTCAATTCTTAATTGCCAGCTCGAGCCAGCACAAAGCAGTCATTAAGCCTCATATTCCCTTTCTCCCTACTGTGGAGTGCATCCCGTGGCAGAAAAACATCAAACCTGGGCAAGAATAATTTATGGTAGAAAGACTTCTTCTTGCTCCCAAGGCAATGTACAGCATTACTGGAACCAATTGCTTCTCTAAATGAGAATGCATTTCTTTATTCCATTTCTGGTTATGGAAGGAGTTAAATCTGCATGTCTCTAATTTCATTTTAGGCATCCCACTGTTTATTTATTTCTATGTTTGCTCTCCTTGGAGGTGGATTTCCTTGGACTAGAAGGGGTTGGTTGCTCTGTTAGGACCAGCTGGTGTCTAAGGCACCGTCAACCCGACAGCACTTCGGTGTTTATGTTTTATAGAGTACAAATCCTCACCTACAACACAGCTGCATCCAGCTCTGTTCTGGCACCTGACAATCTACATGGCTTTAAACAGGATGTTTTGGAGAAGGGTACTACACCGGTCAGGCCGTGAACACCAGGAACCAAAAATACTCCAAACCAGGCATGGTACTGGCCTTCAAGTTCCCTTTTACTGTGCATTTATGCATATACTGCATGTATTTCTGCTTTTGATCTAAATTTTAAAAAGCCCAACAATTTGTAAGCTTGACTCTTATTTTATAATACAATTTGGTTTTAACTGCAAGTCTTTTAGTTAGCCCTTTTAACTATAACAGCCTTCCCATTTCAGCGTTGCCGCACTATAAAATACTTAGGACAGAGACCCTGCCACAATCCTCATACTGAAAAGAGCTATGAAGCTTAGAGTAATACACATAGGTTAAAAATGCATATTACAAAGTTGAAAATCATGTTCTTGTACATAGCAAAAGGATAACTTTAACTCACAGGTACTTAAGTACAAGCAATCAATAACAAAAAGATTTACTAAATATTATTGTCCATCTTTCAGGAACATTTAAGCAATCCAGGGACATAAAATATTTCCAGTTCCCTCTGTTCCTGCTCATGGAAGGAAGTCAGCATCAGTTAAAGAGCAGCCTTGAGGAGGGAAAGGTAAGTGTTAGGATGGGGAGAAAATGTGGGTACCTACACCTGCATTGATCCATAAGTAATAGTTATTGATCACTTCACTGTGTAAGCAGTGATATTTTTAATAAAATATTTTTTATTTGAAGAGCTATGTACAAATTTTCTACAGTATTGTTGAGGTAAGCAACTCTGCTATCCAACACTTCCTTCACAAGAAACTATCAGATATCCAAAAAACCTCAAAGACTAAAAGTTTGTCTTGGAAAATTCAAGCTAGAAATATAGCTCGAGTCTTTAATAATGTAAGTAAATAACCTTTGCAGCAGTTCATTTTGGGATATCATGGGTTTACTTTAAATAAACAACTTGTGTCTTTCTAAACCACTTTCATTCAGTGACAGGTCCATTTTGGCTGGAGGTAACATCTATCGTATGGCTTGGGTAGGACCTCAGATTAGAAAATGGTGATGACCAATTTTGCTGTGAAGACATAGTATTATATTCTGCATTTTGTGCACTTCTGACAGGAATCTGTTTTACACAAACTTTTAATAGGGAAAAAAAATCTTGTTTTGTTTTGGGGTTTTGTTTTTTTTGTTTTTTTTGTTTTTTTTTCTTTCAGGAAATTTTTACCTGCCTACAAACTATACTTACTACTACAAACTATACTTACCACTTTACAAGTGTTTTGAGCTTCTCTTTGCAGCCGTCCCCAAATCTGCCATTAATTGTCTAGAAGACCATACCTGAATTTTATGATCTAGCAATAGAAGAGTGTATTGGAGTACATACATGCAACAGCCTATAACTCAGTTGCTGTAGTAAGAGACAGCATATCTCATATGTGTAGCCCACCTGAAAGGCTGCTGATGTTAATGTCTGAACTGCCCACTTCCTGAGAATTTTCAATAACATTTTAGAATGATACATATTTTCAAGGAAAGTAATAAAGCAATTATTTTAGATTAGCTGTGTATTTGTTAGAACGATGTTGTACTGTCAGGAAGTGCTGTACGGTTGGCTTATGCCAATGAACTTTGCTTATCTGTGGTATTTCATTAACAGTGGTCACATCTGGATTCATCTTTTTACACTCATCACGGTCTTTGGTAGGTAGTGTATTATGTATTGCACAATATTTTTAATGTGCTATTTCAGTGAATTGTGCTTTTGGTGTATAGAATTTTCTTACCTTTTTTTAATCTGATTTTGCTTAGGGTTATCTCCCACTGCATCAGTTGCGATATCAGCGGAAGATCCTCTTCCATTCATTTAGTTGTTTTAAACTCTATGCAGGCTGCTACAGAGTTGAAGCTCGGCAGGGTGAGCTCATCCCATCAACTTTTTTAAGGAGATAAACTGAGTGCTGTGGAGTTTACTGTGTGGGTTTCATAGATAAGCTTAAAAAAAACACCCCAAATACCAACCCTGGCTGGTATCTGCTCTTCATAGGCAGTAATTATCCAATGAAATATTTTGAAGGCAGGGTGTGGTTGGCTAAATTATTGCTCCTCCCACTGTTTTCAATATGTTTCCAGTTTCAGAGGGAAAAACACAAGCTTGTATGTTGAGTATGAGTCATAACCTCTCTACTGCTACTGACTCACTTAGGAGTTTGAGGTAAGTCATTCTACCTTATGTCTCAGTGGCTCTGACCCCAGGACAGCAAAGCGAGAAGGAACTATGGAAAGTTATGCAATGTTTTCGTAGATGAAAAGTGTAGATATTGAGACCAATGTTATTATTATGCAGTATGATAATAATTTTGTGTGCCCAAAATGGATTTTTTACATAGCTTCTTCCCCGCATAAAACATTTTTTTCCCATTTTGTCATGGAAAAGTTTAAAGAAAGATTATGTTGTACCAAAGAACGTCTTAGGTTACTGAAATACTTCACTTAAAAATGATTGTCTTTCTCAGAGGGAAGTACATGCACCTTTCATCACACTGTTCAATTTTGCACCAACAATGACCAATAATAAAGCTATACAGCACTGCAAAATTATCGATGGCTTCTCAAATAAGAGGAGGCCTTGAAGCGTGGGCAGTCTCATAAAGAACTTGCTCCTGCTCAGGTACTTACACTCTGTCCTGGTTGGTCTGCAAGCCTTGCAGGGACATGCTAAACTTTATAGAAGTGAACTTTTAATACCTGAGTGTATTCCTTAGCATTTACGGTATCAGAATAAATATCCATCAGTTACAGTCTTATGGTAGGACGTAGATAGTCTGTAACTTGGCTACTTTGTCTTCGTGCTTTTGTTTCCCCAAAAATACCTGGTTGCAGACTGTAATGAGACGTAATAGTAAAGTATATTTACTAAACCGTAGTAAAAAATCTGCTTGTAAGTTTTAAGGAAGTTACAGTTCAAACATGGACACAGTTTGACAGAGAAAGGTGACATACACTGCGATAGCGTAAGGAAGGTTAAATCATGTAGCTTATGGACACTGGCCCACACGCGAGCACTAACTGCGGTACTCCACGGTGTGGGCAAGCACAGGGCGCAAGGCTGACGACCAAATCGATCTGTGCCATGGGAAAGAAATGTATTTCCCCTGTAGAGAAAGCACGGGTAACCCCGCTTGGCAGCTGGCACTGGAGGAAGCAGTTTGCACTGCAGGGTTTTACTTCTGAAAAATGCTCCTATCCCTCCTCTTCCTTTGAGTATTCGTGTGCGCCCGCTTTAAAGTCCCTTTTCTAGACGTGTCCGTGTGTTACCAGGTAGGGTTACGGAGAGGGTCAGGCTGTGTTCGACCCGGCCTTGCAGAGGGGTGGAAGGGCCGGGGGGACACGCGTGGGGGTCCACGCCGTTTCACCTGCCCGCTCAACGGGTGGAAGGCCAGCGATCCCCGCAGCCGGCAACTTCTCAGCCAGCGGCTGCACCCCTCAAAGTGCCCCTGCCCCGCTGCTACAGCTGCGAGCCCGGTCCAGGCATGAAAGCCTCCCTTTCACATTGCCTTTTTTTTTTTTCCTTTTCTCCCCCCTTCTTCCCTATTTCTGCTTGACGGCTTTCAGCCTCCTGGGGGAATTTCCGTGGCTGGAGGCCCGGTTGGAGGCTGGGGGACGGACGGACGGACAGCGAGGCGCCCCGCTAGCCACCCGTCCC